GGGCAGGGCGAAATAATCGTATAGATATGTATAGGTTCAAATTCTATAAACGAACGATATTGATGTAAAACATATGGCTGCAAAATCACTCATAGTCGCATTCAAAATCGCCCTCAATTGAATGACTATTTCATTCTAATAATTCATTTTTCATTGCCTACTAGATTCTACTCAACTCCGAACACTGTAATTGTAAGTGTGACTTGTAATGTTACAAGTTAGTCTTAAAACATTACTAATTTCTAGAGATTAGCACGTTTAGTCTTAGCACACATATAGAAAAATATGATCAAAATGAGTATATCATCTCGGACCATCATCCTGTCTATTGTTGGAATTCAAGGAGCTGGATGAAATTAGGTGTTTGGTCCCGAAAACTAATAAGGGGCCCCTTTTTTAAAAAATTTTTTTGCGAAGAAAAAACCTAATTTTTTTTGCACACAAAAATTCTTTAAAAATTATGCAGTTGCAACACATTCAAGGTTGCTCTATGTAACTTGAATCCGACGCCGGAGTCTCGTCACCCGAATGCGTGGCGAAGCGGGTAAACTGAGTTATTAATTGTTAAGGTTAGAAAAGATCACGTGAATAGAGTTAACGCTAACTGCAGTGAAGTCGGAATTTAGAACTCGAAATAGTAAAAATTTTTTAAACAATTCAGTTTTGAGCTTAAAATGAATGGTTGCTAGTTATTGAGCACTGTTATTTGATATAATTTGTTTGTTCGTTATAAGGAACTACAAACTCTAGCTCTTATGTGAGATACAACAGAAACAAATATATTTAAAACACTTAAGACTTTTGCTGACAATAATTTAGAACATTTATTCAATGAAATAACATGATTGTCTTTTGAAAATTAATGGTAATATGAACCAATAACTGCCAGATATCACTTTTCTTGTTTATAGTATAAATACTAAAATTACGAAAAAAAAATCTTCAGATTAATAGGACAAAAGCTTTATATCTATTGTCACGTCCGATTTGTTTGTGAGAGTATTCACACAAACAAAACTACGTTTCCGGTGTTCTCATGCAAGCGTGGTGGCATGGTAAAGCGAGCACATGTAAATGTTAGTATTCGTAGCGAAATAAAGACCCAGATTATTTAATTGGAACATAAATAGTTTTGATATTCAAACCGGCAATGAATGTGTAAAAACGCAATTCATCAATCAACTCGACAAATGTTAATTTATAAATTTTCAGTATTATCATATTACTCTATGTCTTACGTTTAATGAAACGACAACTAAATATTTAATAAACCTTTCGTAAATATAAACTTTCAATTAACATTTCAGAAACCTGTTTAACTCTGCGTTCCAGTAGGAATTAGTGATTCTTTTTTTTCCGAATTTTAACCTCTCTTATTTATTTAGAACCACAGAATTCAAGCAAGGACATAAATAGTTTACAATATTTTTGGGAGTTTCATTTTACTAACCGTTATTGCATATGCTGTACTTTTCGTTTGTACCTTTCTCTGAACTCTCTTGTGCAATGTAATTCAAGGTTTCAGCGGGTTAAATAAAACCTTGTGGTTTAAACGGAGCAGAGCGCCCCTCTCTGCATGCAAAATTGGCATTTATGTCAGCAAAATGGCAAACAAAATGTCCGTTTCCTTTACTCAAAAATGCACAAAACAATGGTGAAAACTAAAACGGAATAAGTATATTTGAAAATTCGGTGAAATCAATTTAAGTCAATTATTACTCGTAAATTTTGGAGATGCTTTGTTTCATCATTCAAACAACGTCATTTCAATTGATTCAGGAACCACGAAAATTACATGGTTTATCTAATGAGTTATCTGATTTAGCATAAATAGGTTTCGCTTCTTAGTATGATCCACTAAAACCGTAGAATTTCACCTAGTACAATATTTAGCATTATAGCACTATGAAGGAATATACCCCATTCGTCCATATTATAACATTTTTGGAAGATGCATCCAACCGCTACTCGCATTCCGAACTTGGCCCTCGCCGTGGCGAATAGCGAGGCGGAGATAAGGCGAACTAGCGACGCGGGTTGCACTCTGGCCTGGGCCAGAGCGCCCAACTTCCAACGAAGCTGCGCACGACGCAACCCAAAACAAGACCTCCAATGACACGAATTTTTAGGAGAACGCGAATGTTCGACCACCCCTCCCATTCACAATCATCATACCAGTTCGTAGCCGCCACCGCCTCCGCCACGGCCTTCGCCATCACGCACCCCAGCATCGCCGCCACCGCCATCTCCGCCACCCCATCCCGCACGGCCATCCCCTGCCACGCCATCCCTGCCACCGCCTTTACGCGCCATACCTCACGCCTCTCCTCCACGCACTCCCGCCTCCGCCACGCATCACCGCCACCGCGTCACGCCACGCATCCCCGCCACCGCCATCCCGCACCGCCATCACGCATCCACGCACCGCGCATCAGCCCACGCACGCCGTCACGCATCTCCATCACCGCACGTCGCCGTTCACCCTCCCTGGCCTGTTGTTCTTGCGGGCACTCGCGTGTATATTATGAATTCACAACAATTGCCAACCGGCTTTAGCGGTGGGCTAGCCCATGTCACTTCAGTGCTCTGACGGGGATGTCCTAGGGTTCGAGCTCCGACAGCAACAGATCAACATTGGCTATGTAGCTAGGCCGAATTCCGCTGCTATCTGGTGCTCTAGCTCGTCTAACGGTGGCTGCTCTGATGCGAGTTTTACGTAGTTTTCTCCAAATCAACGCCAGACGAACGTAACAACGGTCAGACCGGGCGCGATCCTTCCTCATCATGCTCGTAATCCCTCACTCCTTACATACAACAACAATTACATGCCAACAATACGGGAGATACACATTGCCGGGAGCGGTTAGGCTTAAAGCCTTTGTCAATGGTGGGTGGTTCCTAGTGCGTGGGAGATAATTGGCGTGGAAAACCTGTGACTGTGAGCTCATAATGCATAACGCAATGGCTCTAAGCAGCGTAGTGAGGCTTTGCGTGCACCCAATCCGCGCTGTCACGTGGAGCTTACTCACTCTCAAGGGAGTCGGTCCACGTGACCGCAGTGTTAACTATTGACCTCACTTTAGCTGCCACATCTCAGCCCAGTGGAACCGCTCGCCGCTCAGTTATAGCTGTTTGGCTGACCGAGAGAGCGTCCTAGCGTTTTACAGGTGGCAACTTTTCGGCCGCCGGTTTCTTGACCTTCCTCAGGGCAAAATGCCTATGCATCTGTGGCTAGGGAAGCGGCGTCTCCCTGAACAGTGTGAAGCAGCTACTGACTCCGGCCTGGCACATCGCTTCCTGTCGTCGGCTCGTCGATTTGCCGGTTGAACTGCCGATTCCTGGCTGAATCTGATGCTGTCTCTTCGTAAACAGCACGCGCTATTACATTTTTTTGTAAAGCCCTGCATTGGCTGATAGCATTGAATAGCAGACGTGCTCAACTCGTGAATATTTGTATTTTATTTATAAGTATCATTTGTTTTCCGAACTTTCTGTTACTTGAATATCTCCAACTTCAACAAAATTCCTAAAGTTCTTTGAACAAGGACATAAATCTATCGATATCTTAATTTTTACTTTTTGCGTGTGTTTGAATAAGAAACGGCGGGAAAAAAATGGTGAATTCCTGAATCATGTAAAATCCTAAGGCGCGAATTATTTTTAAAATGGCCAACTTCTCGTCAGTAACTCATTACTGCATCAGAAAGAAAAGATCAGCTAATGAGAAGCCTGAAGTTAGTTTTCGTTCTGAAAATTTGAAAAGATCGTTCCTGTGCAAGCCTTTAAATATGGAGGCTTTTCACGACATCGGGTGTTTATTTACAATCGAAAAAGTCGTAAATTGAAGGACTTGTAAGGTTAGAAAAACAACCCAAACTAGCTAGAGCAAATCTTCACTGTTCGTATGTTCATACACGATTTTTGGCTTAGTGTGACTCATTTTTCTACGGCGCCAAGCCCTCACAAAGAAAGCATGACAAATGCCAGCGAAAGAAAAAAGCTATTCATATGCCAGTGCCTTGCCCAACTGCGAGATCGAAACGTGAATACTTTGCTACGTTTCGTTGTGGTTGATACCTTAAAAATCTATTAAAAATTTGCTTGAAGTGTTTACTAAATGTATTTAAAGAGTTATATTCGCAAAGTGATGCAGTAAGGTAAGAATGTCTGGCCTCGCTTATAAATGTGTTGATCAGGTTTCGAAAATAGCGTATATTTGCTCGACATGTAACCCAACATTGTGCTAAAATTAGTAATATTTGGAAAATAAATATAAGTAAATTTATTTAAAGATTACATTACATATGATAAATTTGCATTAAGAAGAAAATGTCTAATACTTTAATGATATAGTCACGTAATGTAAAAAATGAACTGCGCATATTTCCAATCAGAAGTTTCATTTCACCTATGCCATATAATTACAGCAAACATGCTTATTGAAGAAGAGAAATTAAAAGAAAATGTGGCCGCTTTCAGAATAAATTACATTAAGACAGATGTAATTTGAGAGCTTATTATTATAAAAAAAATCTTTAAATTTTTTAATAAAAATCGGGCTATTGTATAGGATTAATGATTGTATTTTAATAACTTACTTTCTCTTATTTAGGGGGATAAAAATTTCAGATACATCTTTGAGAATTTCAAAAATATCTAGAAAATGCGTTTAGAAGTATTCAAAATATTAGAAGATCAGTTTCATATTCACAGAGCCTCAACTTGTGTCATTTCGTTCGGGGGAATTTTTAATTTGGAGAAAATTCTTAGATTCAGAATCAGCGTAATATCTGCCCTTAGGTATATAGAGGATAAGACTAACAGACGGAAAATAATTTCTTGTAACATAGTATAACTTTTTATCAGAGCGTTACAATAATCATGTACTTTCTTTCAAATTCTCGACTCAATTTTTTAGCTGGTGGAGCAATACGCATTGGAGAAAATTAAAATGTATCGTTGACATAAATTTTGACTTTGAACTCAACCTTCACTTTCAGAACGCATTGCGCCGACGCGGGGCCAATAAATTGGACGTTTCTGCTCCGCGGGTGGTGTATTAAATCGTTCGCTCGTTCGCACGAGAAGTGGCGCGAAAGCTCGAAGAATGAACGAAACTTCCTAATGGACGGCGAAGGTCCGCCGCGACGTCATCTGTCTCGTCACCGTCACCCCCCCCCCGCCGATAACCTTCTTCTCAGTTCGTCCTCTCTGCAGCTGCTGCTGACGACTCTGCGGGGTTCATCTCAAGATGCAGACCTCCACCAATCTCCTCATATTCGCATTATAAGTGGATTTTCCAATGAGAATTTTGGGCAAACACCGTTTTTCATAATGAAAGTCAAAAAGTACTTTGTTGCATGTCAATGACCTGAACCAAATAAAAAGTGAAAATGAATATTTTATATTTTTACATGTCTGATCTTTTATATAGGCTTTTCAAATTATGCTTAATATAAATAGAATGGGATGAAGTATATTAAATAGCATATGCAATTCATATTTTTATTGTTAAATTCTGTCGGAGATTCTGTTTTCGCAATTCGCAAAC